GTTGCTGATGGCATCCCATGTTCTCAAGTGAGTTCTATTCACTGTTTCAGTGAAGCATTTATGTTGTCAGTATGAAGCAATTTATGTGCAAAAAACAATATCATAGTGCTCATCAAAGTGTTTTTGCATATTGCCTCATATACAATGGTATTTGTCTATTTATTAGTTTGACAAAAGGGTTTGTTTTTGGAAACCGTTGGTTTATTTAAATACAAATTTACCTCTTATGGTTTGTGAGATTTTGTTCATTCTTGGGTTTGAATCACATTTCAAATTTTTAAGTGTTTTTGTTTTAACTGTTATGACGCTGAAAATTATGGTTCTGTCTTAATTGTTATGATGCTGAAAATTATCTCCGATGGTAGTGTCGTTTTCTTTAATCTCAATATTTTATGATGCTGAAAATGCTATTTGGTGCAAGTATGTCATATTCTGCCATTGATTAAACTCTGAGCTATTAGTTCACAACTGGTGGCTTGCTGCAACTGAAAATGCTATTTGGTGCAAGTATGTCATATTCTGCCATTGATTAAACTCTGAGCTATTAGTTCATAATTGGTGGCTTACTGCAACTGAAAATGCTATTTGGTGCAAGTATGTCATATTCTGCCATTGATTAAACTCAATTAATTAAATTCTGGGAATTCTTTGAGCTACATTATTATTAAAGTATTAGGAAATGGATGAGTATCTATATAATAAAGCATGAAAGTTTTTGAAAATGTCTATATTAGGAAATGGATGGTGGCATGATTTTATTATTTATGTTAAAACCCAAACTTCAATTGTTCTTTCAAGTTTAATGCCCTACAACTCAACAGGATTATATTACCCGTCTATTGTTCTTTCAAGTTTAATGCCCTTTTTCCATTGTTGATTATGAAAACTTACAGGGCACTTAATTGCATTTGTTGATTATGCCCTTTTTCCACATGTACTGAATCAAGCAAGTTTTTACTTCTCCTGTTGGCACACTTGGGCCCCAACCAATTGAAGTTTCTTCCTAATTTTTAAGAAAGGAAAGGTGAACACGGGTTGTTTTGTCTGACCTCCCATTTGACTGTTTAAACTTTATATATATAATCCAACCCCCAGTTGATAGACTAGAAGAAACAGTATGAATTAGGCTTGATGATTATATTTTATGCTGTTTGATTATTGCATTGAAGTGCATCATTGGTTTGACTTTTATCTTGCAGTATTTACCATTATATAATTTTGAAACTTGAAAAACATTTTTGGCTTCTTTTGCTAAGTCCTCAAACCCAACATTTTTAGCTTCTTTGGCTTCTTTTGCTAAGTCCTCAAACGCAACTTCCCAAACGTAGGCTATATAACTTATATTAGATCTGTAGCACTTTTCCAATAAGTTTGCCTTATTGTACTGAGTGCTTAATACATGCACTATTTTTGATCCATTATTTGCAGATCTCCATGATGGATTAATGAAGAAATTAATTGTTGTAAACAAAGGTAGTGCCATAGAATTTTAGTAATTCAGTAAAGAGGAAATTGCACCAATGATAGTTATTCATCATTATTTACACCGTGCCTTCAGGCACGGGCATACGCTAGTAAATTTATAATTGTAAAAGGTATTAATATATATATATATATAAATTAATAATATGACACTTGAAATTTATTGGGTCAAATCTTATGAGAAAATAAGTCATTAAAAGATATTTACTTCCAAATTCTCCTTTTTAGATTAAATGGTAGTAGATTCAGGCGCTACAATCATGGCATACACTTCCAAGGAAACAAAAATCCGCTCTCTCTCTCTCTCTCTCTCTTTTCCGGGTCATCATTTTCTCACCACACAAACAGCTAAAAAAAAATTCTCTCTCTCTCTCTCTCTCTCTCTCTCTCTCTTTTCCGGGTCATCATTTTCTCACCACACAAACAGCTAAAAAAAAATAGTAAAAACAGTAATTTTCTTCTCTTATTCTCTCTTTCCACCTTTAACTTGTCCTCCCTCTATGGCCATTGATGATGTTTCTGTTGTGTTCATTGTCTCCCCATTGTCTGGCTAATCGTTACCTTCTTGGGATTCTCTAACACTTGCTGTTTTCTGGTTCTCTTCATTTTCTGGGTATAACTCATTCTCTCCCATTTCTTTACATTCAATGTGATCTGTTTGGTTGTGGGTCTGTGAGGCTTTTTCTCTGTTCTATCGTTTTTCTTGCTCATTTCTCTGTTTTTTGAGGTCTTTAAACAATGGGTTTGGATGAAGACAATGTGACCTCTGAAACAAAACCAACCCAACCAATTCAGAGGCATAGCAAACAGCTGAGTGAGGCATCTTGTTATGCCACAGAGGATGAAGAAGAGGGTAACAAGGAGGATGAAGAAGAAGAAGCTTGTCCACAGTTGGGTCCCGTTTGTAGTATCAAAGAGCATGTTGAAAAGGACAAGGTTTGTTTTGTTTGTTTCTCTTGAAAAAAAAAATGTGAAATTGCTTATTGGTGTTGTCGAATTTCTTGTGGTTCTGTGTTGAATTAGGATGATGAGAGTTCGAGCCGGTGGAAAGAACAGCTTCTTGGCAGTGTTGATGTCAATGCGGTTGAAGTTACTTTGTTGCTCTTGAATCTTGATTGATCTATGTTGGTAACTTGTCTGTTAACAATTAATTGATGTGTAAACAGTCTCATGAATAAAAAATTTGCTAATTGTGATCTAGCTTATGATATCACAACCATTTCACCTCTGATTTCTTAAAAAAGATATCACAACCAACCCATCTTCATATCATTCTATCATCTTGTTCAAGTAGTCCTACAAGTAGCTTCCCCATAATGCAATCATTCTATCTGTTTTTTTTTTTTTGATCAGCACAATCATTCTATCTTTCTTCTTCTGCCGCTTGTCCCATATATCATTTTCTGCATTCATAAGAGATCTTCTTCATTTATTGATTCTTAACATGTTTGGGATTGTTTGGGTTTTTCTAAAAATGTGATGGATTCTTTCCATGCCTTGGGGTGGAGGCAAGATTCTAAAAAGCGGTTGCAGTCGGCGTAACGGTGGCGGTGACGCGGTTGCGGTTGCAGGGTGTAAAGGCCGTAGTGTAACGGTTGCGGTAACCAGAACCGTGAATTTTTTTATTTTCCACACAATTTGAAAAAAAACTTACCGGTACGCATATTTTTTTTCTATGATCATATTTATTGGGTTAAAAAAAAATATTGATCAATTTTTATAAATTTTTAAATATGATCCAATATATTTCATATTTTTAAATCACTATAAATTGAGTTTTTATATTTTATTTTAATAATTAATAACTTTATATTATACAAAAAATCAATCACTAACTATTATATATAAGATAAACAATGACAAAAGTAAGAGAATAAATAAAAGCCTAAATATATATATATACATATTTTAACCAAGCCAAATAGATAATGACCACACTTATTATTATTATTATTTTCAAACAATATATAGATAGGAACACACAAACAAAATAGTTTAGTGATAGCAGCTGAATAGAATAGCATAGGTCTTACAACTTCAACAAATCAATAGCATGTTCTTCATCTTCCCTCTTCTCTCACTATCTCTTGCTCCTCCGTTTTCTCTCTTTATCTTCCCTCTTCTCTCTATCCCTCTTCCCCCATTTTCAACTTTTTTTTGTGTGTTTTTTTCGAAAGAAACAGTTTGGAACCATTACGTAACGGTGCGTAACAGGCCGTTACGGCGCCATTACGACTGCTACGGCAGCCATTACGGCCGACGCACCTGTGAATCTCAATCACACTGTAAAAGCGGCCGTAACGGATGGCGGTAACCGCCAAAACCGTTACATAACGGCGTTACGTAACGGTTGCGGGTGGAGGCTAATGGAAGAGAAGGAAAAAGGCGTGCTCTTTGGTGTCCTTGGTTTTGATGTGGATCATTTGGCAGGAGCAAAAATGTCTTTGATTCTTGAAGGTCTGGAAGGGCCCATCTTTAAATTACATAGCATATTTTTGCCTTTATTGTATAGTTTATTTTCGGATGGAGCAGAGCCGTCATCACCCCCTTTTTGGATTTTGAATAGTCTTTTGAGTGATTTTGATGTGTATTAAGGATTTTTGCTTTTATTTATATTGTATAGAGGTGCCTTCCCCTTGATGCTTTTTGCATACGGATGGCACCCAGGTCCTTTCTTATTAAATCTCTACTTACCAAAAAAAAAAAAAAAAACAAAGGCCTTCATTTATATCCCAATTTCAGCCACTGTAACAAACAAGCCTCTCAATAAACGGCAAGGCATACATGACAACTTGGCTAAAATCTATTTTCATCTAGCATGTAAACTGTTCGTGAAAATAAATCGTAAAAAATATGCTCTTGGTTCAAAGAAATGCTGTGAATTCAATTCAATATGATGAGAACCCGCTGAAAGAACAAAGATAACAAGAAAGGGAAAAAATGACAGCCAGATGAAAGTGAAACTAATATTTATATAATGTAAACAACTTCATCAACAGTTGACACATGTAAATACCATCGTTCTCAACTAGATATCTTAAACATGGAACCCAGGAAAATAAGATCTCTGACTCAAAGCCCACTTGCAGGTTACCCAAATGGTTTCTTCAATTTGATGGCGGCCATCCAATTTGAGTTGAAACAAATAATTTTTGTATAAAATAGTAAAGCTAAAACTCCTCAATTATTCCCATTAGTTGAACAAAACACAGATATAGTATGTATGCTATCATTGATAAATACAACTTAAAAGAGAAGAAAATAAAATCAAATCAAACCTAACTGGACACGGCAACAGTAACGACATGAACGTATTTTTCAGAATCAAGTTATTCTAGCCACTAACTTGTTAAGACAAAATTCCAACAAAAGAATTGAACTGAGTCATGCATTCGGTTCGGTTACCCACCTCAACTTGGTTGACCTTTATGTATTCCCAAACATGTCTTAAGACCTCAGACTGAATCATCTCCCTTCCACTAGTACCAAAAAAATTTGCAAGGGCTTCAGATATTATCACAGCAGGTTCAGATTCAGCATTTTTTTGTCTCCGATTCCACCTCTACTTTTGGTTTCTTAGAATTTTGACTTACCGGTTCTGAAAGCATCAAAACAATGCAGTCAAAGTCATTGGAAGAAAAAAAAACAAAAATAGACAAAGAAAGAAACAAAAAAAATAAAATAAAAAATTGGAACAGAAAACACTGTCCTGACAGACACATACTTGTAGGTTCAAGTGTGATAATATGTTTAGCTAACAATTTATTCATCTTGAACATGTCAGTACAGTCTGTCTCAAACACCAAACGTAGCTCATCATTGCAAATTATCTTCCTTTTGTTACTTGCATCTTGAATATTGTTTTTCCTTATGTAAAACCACAACTGCTTCACAATCTGAACCAAACAGAATGTAACTTTAGAAGGAACAATGTTAAAAAAGATGAACATTATTCAAAAAATCCAGAAGTTTAAACCTCAGTCCTAGGCAGTGCTGGATGCCTGACAATGGCCTGAAGTTCAGGTGAGACCCCACAAAGTTTGTTTAGCCTGCCTGGCCCACCTCTCCTCTTTTTTCCAGTTTGAGAACTGCAAAGAGATAATAACAAATAACACAATCACAACAGGCTAATCATCAAATGACACATCCCGCTAAAAGAATATCAGGTAGAGAGATTTTTCAAAGCTGCAGACAACACATACAAAGTTAACGTAGTATGACCAATCAGTGTGCTGACTATAAATCTTTAGGGGATAACCATCCAAGCAAAAGCAATTAGACGTGAGATAGAGCAACCATTGAGATAAAGCACCCAAGGGTTATTACACCGTTTTGAAGTCAGAAGATCGTGATCACACATGTTGGAGGTTTCAGCTTTGAGGGTAAAGACTCAACCACTCCTTAGTTCAAATGGACATGGACATTAAAGACTAAAACCGCTGTTTAGTTCACATGGCTAGCTTACACACATATTTTCTTTAATCCAACTTGTTTAGTGTTTATGAATACACAGGCTGTTGCCATTATTTGATTTGTCCTTAATGCTTATGGAAGAAAGCGCTCTTATTGCCAGTGATACTCCATACCACGAATCGATGAATTGTGTAAATAACTCCGATACAGAAGGCCTTGCAACCTCACAATATTTGCTTTGCATAGATCCATGGCTTCAATACAATCACATTTGTAATTTGGTTTATTGGTTAAATGATTGTACGAACCACATTATAGAGACAACATTGGGGTATATCATATATGGTCTACTATCCTCACAGTAGCAGAAGAGTGAACTAAGCTCTTATCTGGGCCTTGTTTGTTGATATATACACTTGAAAGCAAGATCTAATAGAATTGTGCATTATCCCAGAGATTAAAAATGGAAAACGATTTATCTCCTAAGTTAAAGATTGCACTACACACTTTTCATACTTCAATAAATCAGTCATACACCCAAGACAGAATTTTGTTTCTCTATTGGAACAACCCACAATCTATACAAAATACCGCAAATCAGTGTACTCGAGACAAGTCTTTACCGCTCGACGAACCCCTTGGGTTACCGCAAACAATAACATTCTTACATCAAAAATTACAAATTCATAGAAAAATAAACATCAAGGAACAAAACAATAGACTTACAAGTAACGATATCACGATGCCAGTGAATTCTAACCAACTCAAGAAAAAACAAATCCAAACATCGATTGGTTGTTTAGCAAACGTAACCAAAAAGGAAAGTGATTAATTTTCTATTAATTTCCAGAATTTTCTCACCAACCAAAAGGGCGGCTCTTTGGGGGATTCGGTAGGGGCGGCGTCAGTAGTAGCGGTGGCGGAGGATTCGGTCTTCGGCGAAAGGCGGGAGTTGGTGGAAAATAGGGTTTTGGTGGAGGAGAAATGGGTTTTTGGAGGGGGAGGGGTGGTGGAGGAGGGTGAGATCGGAGGAGGAGGAGGTGGATCTGGTTCTGGATGAAATCGAGCTTGGAAGTGAGGTCTAACCCTAGCTTGGATTCCAAATGGTGAACGACGCTGTTGAAGGAGGTGAAGGTAGTGGAGCTAGGGTTTGTTTGGCGAAGAAGACACTCTAGGGCTTCAGCTATGTCCTGGTCGGACACCATTGTTGTCTCCCTCTGTCTCATTCAAATATTTATATAAACTGAAATTAACGGACTCGCAAAAACACACTCACACTCTCTCCCTCTCTCTCTCTCTCTCTCTCCTCTTTCTATTTTTCACACAACCTCTCTCTTTCTTTCTCTTTATAGAAATTGACATGACGAAATTGACCTTATCTAATGTAAGGATAATGTCAAAGATGAAAGTTTTGCTAACCTAAAAAAGTGTACTTATTTCATTTTTTTATCTTTTTTGAGTCACATCAATCAACATCTTCTCTCTACTTTTTCTACACATAATACAAAAAAAGTCAAAAAGTGCACTTATTTAGTCTTCCCAAATTTGGTCATCAAATATCTCACATGAGTGTGGGGCCCACACCCATATGAGATATTTGATTATTTATTTGGTAGAAAATTTAAAACTTATAGTATTTTCTCTAATGTGATGAGTAACAGGTGGGTGATGCACAGATATAATTGGCTAATTAAAAGTTGGCCACGATATGTATTTGGTTTGGACTTAGAGCATCCTTACTAGATTATTTAAATTTTATCCTAAAATATTATTAAAAAATTTATTCCCTATATAAAGGAAACAACAATGATAAAGACCACTAATTTTGGAGCTCTAAAAATATCACTAATGATATGGCACTCAATAAAAAAAGAAAAAAAATACAATACCAAGGCCAAAACATCAAATCATTCATGGTGAGGCCCACTGCCACATCATTAATAGTAGCACTGATTAGTGCTCTCACTCATTTTCCTAAAGGAAAATTTAGCCATAAACCCTTCTTAACTTTCTTTTCTAGTTAAAAGGACAAAAAAAATAAGTACTTTCAAAACCTTCTTATAATTACAAAATTATGTATAAAGGACAAAATTTGTTATTTGAATATTTATTTGACCATTATACCTTTTCTTTCTTCTATTTCTTTTATAGCTCTCTCTCTCTCTCTCTCTCTCTCTCTCTTCACCAACTCGATGGTTGTTCATCGTCTCCGCCATCTTCATCGTCTATCAGCATCG